ACAGAAATACATTATCCAATCCATTCAGCACTCCATTATGTAAAGGCGAAACATAGAGGAAGTGGAATGTCTGTTTAACTAGACATTTAAGTTCTTGAACAAAGGGTTTCATTTGTGAAATGTCTTCTTTTCCTCAGGAGTGAAGATTTTCTTAACTTTCTGATCAGCCTGAAACAGCAGTGCTGTTACTTGACAGAAGCCTTACAGGATGTCATCAGCAGGTTCCCACGTAGCCCCTCCGAGGTTCGTTGTGTACTGTATCTGCACCCTTTGTAAAACACGACTGTCTTGTGTAGCCAGACTTTTGATTTGTGGCAGTCTGGAACACATTGCTTGGGTAACACCAATTTCAACGGTTCACTTTAGACATTCTACTAGTCTACCAATACACAGAGTTAGTTGACAGTTAACTTTGCAACAATGTCAACTAACTCTGAGTATTGGTAGACTGTGAGGTTAGGTGTTCGGGTTCGAGTTACTTATAATCAGTAAAATGTCAGTTGGGGGACCATCAAAATAGTGTTAGCAGATATTGGGTGGATCTGAAATAAAAAGAATTCAATTAATGTTACATGGTTGTGCTAAAAACTAGGGCTGTCTAGATTAATCGCATCCAAAATATAAGTTTACATATATATGTGGGTGCACTGTGTGCAATTATTTTAAAATATATATATTTTGTGTATATATATATATATATATATATATATATATATATATAAATACACACACATGCATGTATATTTAAGAAAAAAATATTATTTATATATAAAATATTATATATAATATACTATATATAAATCTATGTACAGTATATACATGAAAATATTTCTTAAATATATACAAGCATGTGTGTGTATTTATATATATATAAAATAATTATACACACTGCACCCACATATATTATGTAAACACAAACTTTTATTTTGGATGCGATTAATCGCGATTAATCGTTTGACAGCCCTACAAAAAAATCACTGTAAAAATATAGACTTGGTCAGACTCCAGAAAAGATAAGCTTGTATGTGTGTGTTCCATTGTGGGGGAAAAAAATTAAACAACATGAGGGATGGTTAATTTAATTTAAACCAAATAATGTACTAAAGGTTGTGACTCAGTTGGACTGCCCAAATCTTTACTTGTAAATCTGTGATCCCAACAATCATGCAATCTTAATATTAAACACAGTTTTTGCTGTTCAAATTCACTCTAATAGTCCATGTGTTAAATGTGTTTGAATGTGCATGGTACTTTTGAGAGTGACTGCCCTAAGCGCCTGAAATGATCCATGAATAGATGAGAACAAATGAAGTGTATTTGAAACCAAGTCATTTTCAATGTTTTCAACTGAAGTAGTATTCAGACAGCTTATGTATCTCACGTTCAGTGTCTACTTGTTTGTGACTTCTTTGATAGGTTGTTCTCACATGTGATCCCAAGAAAGAGGCTCAAGCCCTTTGCACTGAGCTAGTAACTCAAACTGGAGACCTTCAGAAAGAGATATTCTGTCTTAAGACCCTGCTCGGCAAGGTCAGTCATGTCCACATTCCTTTGTCCTCTTCTTTCATCTTCTCTGATGCTTCTATTTACAATAGTTTTGTCTAGTAAAAGTACTCTTGAGACCAACTGGGGCAGCCATTGCATCCCTCTCCGATGTCGCCATAGTCTCTTTCATGAGGATGAAGGCTAATCAGTTGATTAATTGAGAATCAACTGGGGATGTTATCCGCCAGCACTTTCCAGGGAATTTCCACAAGTCTCATCAATCTCCACTGTGGAATTAGTTTAGTGAGAGCTGTTTGCAGCTGCTTGTTGCCCCCGTTGTTCTCAAAGCAGTCAGCATTAGATTGTGCCAGCATATCTAAATAGAACAGTTTCTCAGATTGTTGTGAAATACTGGGTTTTGGGAGGGTTTTTCCACTGAAATTTAGAGGTAATTGATTTTGTTTAAAGGACAAATATGGTATTTTTCAATTAAAGCCCTGTTTTAAGATCGTTTCTGATGAAATAGAATGGTTAAGATTGTTTTTTTTAGACAAATGCTGCAGTCACGAGAATTTTCGGATTCTGTGGTTGCACCCCCACACCTCTACAATGGTAGCATAGGTGCATAGGAACAATCCTACAAAAACTAAAACTTTAGTTTACAAAGATGTGAAACTCACTGATATACTCGCACAAAGATCGTTGCAAAAGATGCTTTTTTAACAAGTGTTTTACCATTCGTTGTAAAACTGTAGACCTATTTTTCCAAACACCTCACAACCGTACATTCTTCCGTTAAGAGCTTGAATAATAGACACTCCAGCCCAGTTGGTGGCGATAATGCGCCTTTGCCAATTGCAAGCAAACCACTTGTATAGTGTAGCCTACGATACCGCGACTGCATAAGACTACAGAAAGAATACAAACAACCCCATTTTCGTTTCCGGCGGCGGAGTAATACCGTACATCGCAGAACATACAATACAAGTCAATGGAGTTGTACAAAAACTACGATAAAACCTGTTGGAAAGCATCTTTTGCAGCGACACCCCAGACCACTCGGTGAGTTTCACGTCTTTATAAACTAAAGTTTTATGCGTTTTATAAAGGATTGTTCCTATGCACCTATGCTACCATTAGGGTTGGGTATCGTTTGAATTTGAACGATTCTGATTCCGATTCCTTGTTTCGATTCCGGTTCCTAAAGATTCTCGATTCTTTTAAGAGGCAGGGTCAAAAAAGTTTAGCTAACCTTTCTAACCAACGGTCTTTCTGAAGGAAATACTCCTTTTGTCACAAATTTTTCATTTTGCTGAGATTTTGTTATTTTTAGAAAAGTGAAGCCACACTTTGGACCGCCGACCATAGACATGTTCGACTCACGCGGTTATGCCAACACTTCCGGTAAACGCTTCTTCGTTGGTGTTGTTCAGCGGTTTCTTCTTCCGGTCGGCGGACTGTGAATATCGAAACTAGGAATCGAAATTTTAACTTTTGAACGATTCCGGGAAAAACGAAAAGTTAGTCCCAGTTCCAATCGATACTTGATTCTCGCTACCCAACCCTAGCTACCATTGTAGAGGTGTGGGGGTGCTACAACCGAATCCGAAAATTCTCGTGACTGCAGCATTTGTCTAAAAAAACAATCTTAACCATTCTATTTCATCAGAAACGATCTTAAAACAGGGCTTTAATTGTAAAATACAGAACTTGTCCTTTAACTATAATCAATAATATTGGCACAACTTGTTCCAGAATGATTTGTTCTCTTTTAACCCTTAATTTTCCTTCAGACGGACCACACAGAACATACCTTTCAGCCTCTTCAACCAAACTCTAATATTGGTCAGCAAAGAAAGGCCCGCAAGAGGTTTGCTGCCGTGCTTGGACTTGGAGTGTTGGGTGCAGGGTTGCTATTCGTGTTGTCTCAATCCAGAAATTTGAACTGTTTTTGAGGTTATGAATTTCAGTGATGCATGCATTTTAAGTTGTTACCCCAATATTTTATTCATTATCATTTGTTCCGTGTTTACGTTAGGGGTATGTTACGATTCCCTTTTTTTGTGGTGCTTTTCTAGACTGTTGTTCGAGTAAATCTGCTAAATGTTTATTTGGTTTTACAGACCAGCATATTAAAATATTTCCCAACCCACAGTTATCGTTCTCAATGCTTTGTACCATATTGTCAGTTTCGATTTCAGCAGAGCTGCAGGCTAATGTTTTTTGGAAATCCTGTTTTGATTTTGCTGGGTGGCCCAAAAAGGAAAGTCATTGCCAGTCGCTGTCTGTGGTGCTGAAATGTCATTATTCGGGTGCTTAGTGAGTCCAACCGGGGTGCAGGACCCCCTTGCAGATGATGAAAGCTGATTGCTTGGAACAAATGCTTGTTACATGTTCATTGTTTGACAGTGAAATGTAATATGGCATGTGCATGCAGTTTCCTGATAGCCCCATCTGAGTGTTACTTAAGACATGTCTATGAGCAGCAAAGAATGGCAGCTCTTTTATTAGGCCATTTCTTTTGGTTGCTTACATGCATTGTATATGTGTGTAAGCAGGAATTATGTCAAATAATATGCATGTAAAAACCGCTTGACATCTGACTCCCGAGAAGAAGGCGATATCTCGTTCTTCAAGCTGTAACAATGTCAAGTATATTTTGTCGGGTGTTATTAGCCTGGCTTACTTATCTACAGAGTTTATGAAAATGTTTTTAAACTTTTATAAGTTCATCAGAGGATGCTCAATGTATAGGCCTACACTAGCGGATAAAATAGCGTTTATCTGAGAAGATAACCATTGGACAATACCTTGACAACTTAAAAACTAATTGTCGGATTATTAAAGTTTGACACATGAAGAAAAGTGTTTTAGACTAATAACGCAATAATGGATAACTGAACTGATTGCGTCCGGACACTTGTTGGTTACCATGAGAGTCATTGAATAAGTTGTGGTTATCCAATTTTGAAGGAGTTTATAATAAATAAGTATGAATCAGAACGTCCAGATTCATCACTTAATCTCAGTAGCTATAGCCTTTATAATCAGATTATTATTATTATTTTAAGGGATAATGATATTTGAAAGACCAATGAGAGGATTCAGAATAGTCCTTCCTTATTGACTTGAAAAGGATGAAATTAGGCCAATTTAAATTCCATCATATTACCGATGACAAGTCTTCTCCACGCTCTCGCGACCGCGCCCTTTTCGCGGGGATCACAAGAGAAGAATCCGGTTTTCCTATTAATCTTGGTTCCCATCAGTTGAAAGGACCTCGCAATACAAGGAAGGAGGACAAAATAATTATTTCACATAACTGGTGATCAAAGATAGAGTAAATTCTGTGCGACAATTGAGCAGTTCGTGAAAAGTTCAAAAGAATGTGATAATCCAATTTCAATGCACGTCATCAAGAGCGGCCATGTTTGTTGAGAGGATGAGTGTGCTTTCAGTCAATTAAGCGTTATTCTCCGAGAAAGATATTTTTTTCATGAGATTCACATAAATGTAATAGGCCTAATGCATAAAGACTGAGTGATCAATTTAATATGAATAATACAAATATAAAGATAGCCTGACAGGGCCTAATAACAATGCATTATTTATTAAAGTGCTAGGATTTAGAAGGGTATGGATAGGCATTTCACGTTGGACCACATTCTACACTTTCGCTGCTTTGGAAATAAGCCAAAACCTGTGGCTGGTGTCAAGCTAGCCTGAACAGATACTTTCAGACATCTAATTTCTTCACTTCATTCCTGAGGCAGGAGTACCCACCCCTTGTGTAAGCAATTTAAACCTGATAGGAGATCATCAGCTATCTTCAGCCACTTCAGCCCCAGGACGGACGAGCATCAGGCTGTGTGTGCAGCGCCACACATCACACACACTTCACGATGCTTTGACGCTCAGCTCACTTGTGTCGCGTCACTCCACTGATTTTTGATCTGGGAGAGTAAATTAGCAATTTGCTCCGACCGCCTCAGCATTCGTTGTTTGTTGTTAAACTGCATGCAAGCGCCTGAACGAATGAGTGTATCAATACAATTTTTATAATATGAACTTTTTGCCAAGTGGAATATGTTTTTATCTGTCCGTGGCAATTTGCTGGTTCACATCAAGGGTCGACGCATCGTGGTGGTGGGTACAGTTTTTGTTTTATTTTAAATACGTTTTAAGTAATGCTTTCTCGTTAAGAAATGTAAATAGTTTTAGAGAAGGCTACGATGTGGTTAAAAAAAATATAATCATATAATCTGAATTTTTTTTTTTTTTTTTTTTTTTTAAGTGAAATGAATGTGCCTAGTACGCATTTGTGTGTTGAAACATGATGAATGTCTTGAAGAGATTCCCATCGCTCATTCCCTGTGCTTTCATCTTTTATGCAGGTACATGGGCACTCTTGGATCGCAAGTGATGTGCGACAACATCCCGGGGTTAATTAACAAACAACGCCAGTTGTGCCGCCAGCATCCCAAGGTGATGCAGGCTATAGGAGCTGGAATTAAAAACTGGATTGGAGAATGTCAGCACCAGTTCAGGAACCACCGATGGAATTGCAATACCATGGCGCGCGAGCACAATCTTTTTGGGAGGCTTTTACATCGAAGTGAGTATTGTTTCAAGTGTAGCCTATAAAGGGGTCCTACATACAGTGTGTTCTCTCCACTCAGTGAAATTCCTTATCTGATATCAGATCCTATTACAGAAAGTAAAACTTGATGAACTGGGTTTGCTTTTAATCTGTGTGTGCTGCACAGTCTGTTTGATTTTTATCAGATTTTTTAGATAAAAAGATATGAGCCTATATGGGTTAATGAGACACAAGGATCAAAGGATGTATGAGATTATAATGAAAGGAGAGAAAAAACAAGGTTAAAACATGTGGAAAGTTCTCATAATGTAGCCTAATCCTATTAATTTTAGTTAACATAAAAAAATCAGTTATTCCATTTTCTACAAAACTCTGTCGATTTATTGACTCTTGAAAACTAAATTTTTAAAAAGTTGGTGATACCACACTGACTGTCTGCCAAATCATTTTTATAATAAATAATAAGATATTTTCTTTTATTTATTTACTTTTTATTTAATTTAGGGCTGTCAAACGATTAATCGCGATTAATCGCATCCAAAATAAAAGTTTGTGTTTACATAATATATGTGGGTGCACTGTGTATAATTATTTTATATATATATAAATATACACACATGCTTGTATACATTTAAGAAATATTTTATATAGTATATACTGTATATAGATTTATATATCATTTATATTATATATAAATATAAATATTTTATATATAAATACATTTTTTTCTTAAATATACGTGCATGTGTGTGTATTTATATATTTACAAAATAATTATACACAGTGCACCCACATATATTATGTAAACACAAACTTTTATTTTGGATGCGATTAATCGCGATTAATCGTTTGACAGCCCTAATTTGATTTTTTTTTTTTTTTTTGTAGATAGTTACACCACCTGGTAAATCTGACACATGTTCTGTGACTTTAAGCCCCTAAAGAAGTATCACAATTACTTGCACTAAAAAAATGCTGGGCCAATGTTTCAAACCCAAATATTGATTTAAATTTTGTAATTCATTTTGTTAACCCAACGGTTGGGCTTGTCCATATTTGACCCCAAAACATGTGTTGAAACAACCCAGAATTTTTACATTTTTATAATAGAAAATATGTATTCTTGTCATTGTATGCACTGTATTTTAGGCTATATATTTAAATCCAGATCTGAAAAAGTCATGTCATTGACCCATACACAAGTTATGTGATCATCTCAAGATGTCTAGATGTAATTTGAATCGATAACTCACAAAAGTCTCACTTAGCATTCAAGTGTATCCTTTACTTTTCATTGTGTTCAGGATTTATGTGAGTTTAGGGAACAATGGCTGGATTATTGTGTCTGGTGTGTTCATTCAGAGCTGCTCAACAGCTTGATGCTTTAACTAGGTGTAATTGCCAGTTTTGTGACTTTAGGTTGTGCAACTGTAAGTGTCTCTGGCTCTATTTTCTCATCCCGCGTAAAATCATATTAATGGGAACATCCTCAAAGTAACTCTGTGTCCCAGGCCTCTAAGCTGCTCTGCACATTAAAGTTAGGTTAAACCTCTGACTTTAATCTTCTTGCTTTAAGGTATTCAGACCTCCCAGAAAGACTTCTCTGTGCCACTGTGAGAATCTACTTATTGTCAATGTCAGCTTACTAATTTAAAACAATTGCATGGCAGGCATTCTCTTTCAGTCTGACAAAGCTCCCGAACGGAAACATCTTTGGTATACATGTGAAAAGCTGCAGCTTATAACTTTTGTTCAAGCGGTCGCTTGTTTCTGTTGTTCTTTCTTCCCTCTCTTAATGTTTCCCACCGTGATCTCCGTCACACACATATGCCCTCACTTTCTCTTTCTGAAGTAAACCTTAATGGATTATGAGATTAGTAGATTTTCAGTTCAAAAATATATAAAGTCAGCATTTATTTTAGGAATCGACGTGACCTGTGAATGTAAACAGAGACGTATGAATTATGAGTATTCATTCATTATGATTTTTAAATTATTATATTTATAATATAACATGCAAAATATGTATGAAATATATAACACATTTTAAATAATTAAACGTCTGTGTATATATTAATAAAAATTAGCCTATGCAAAAGTTAAGAAGTAATTTAAATGAATTTTATATCAAATTAAATATACATTTATAGTGTATTTTTTATGTCTCTCTGGGTGTGTATACTGTATTTAATAATTACGCTTATCTTAATTATAAAAATATTTTTTTTATATTTATTGATATATTTAATATATATATATAATTGATATTAAAATAATTTGTGTGGGTCTACACACTACACACAAACATTTTTTTTTTTAAATTTTAAATAATGACCAGCTCCTCTCTAATTTATGCAACATTTTTCCCAACGCTATTCCCCCTCTGTGTGTGTGTGTGTGTTGTTTTTTAGGCAGCCGTGAGTCCGCCTTTGTCTATGCCATCTCCTCAGCAGGAATGGTCTACACCTTGGCTAGGGCGTGCAGTCAGGGTGAACTAGAAAACTGCTCCTGCGACCCCGGAAAAAAAGGTTCATCTCGTGATGCCAAGGGATCTTTCGACTGGGGTGGCTGCAGCGATCATGTTGACCATGCTATCAAGTTCACTCAGGTCTTCATCGACGCCAAGGAGAGGAAGGAGAGAGATGCACGAGCGCTCATGAACTTGCACAACAACCGTGCGGGGAGGAAGGTAACAAGGGCATGTTCTTGCAAACAGCTGTTGAGACACATTTGAGAAATCCTGACAAATAATAATCCGTGACCAATCAGAGATGGAGCAGTCAGAGGATTACAATACAGACACGGTCTTCTTTTTTATTTACAGGCTGTGAAGCGCTTTATGAACCTGGAGTGTAAGTGTCATGGTGTCAGTGGATCATGCAATGTACGAACCTGCTGGTTAGCCATGGCAGACTTCAGGCAGACTGGTGACTATCTCCGCAAAAAGTACAACAATGCCATTCAGGTGGTGATGAACCAGTATGGAACAGGCTTCACCAGTGCTTACAGGATGTTTAAGAGGCCCACCAAAAATGACCTTGTCTACTTTGAAGACTCACCTGACTACTGTATATGGGACCACGAGTCTGGTAAGTGTGCAAGGGGAAAACCATAACCCTTAAAAAGATGGTTTCCCCCAAAAAGAATGATTCACTTTTCAATTTTTTGTTGTTGTGGTCTTAAAGGAGTAGTTCACTTTTAAAAAACTTTTGCTGATAATTTACTCACCCTCATGTCATCCAAGATATCCATGTCTTTCTTTCTTCAGTCGAAAAGAAATTAAGGTTTTTGATGAAAACGTTTTAGGATTTTTCTCCATATAATGGATTTCAATGGTTCAAGGTCCAAAAGACAGTTTCAGTGCAAACTGTAAAAAGGGCTTTAAACGATTTCAGATGATGAATAAGGGTCTTATCAAGCGAGAGTCTTTCTCGTTTATCAAAATGAATGAATCTTTTTTCGTGTCATTTGGTTCATTCAAACAAACAAAATGAACGAGGACAGTCACAAACGTGCATCACAGAACAGCGCAAGGTGACCATTTGAGCTTATAAAACTTAAACTTTGTTGTTTTTTTTTTTAAATGGGCGATCGTTTCGCTTGATAAGACCCTTATTCGTCGTCTGGAATCGTTTAAAGCCCTTTGAACAGTTTGCACTGAAACTGTCTTTTGGACCTTGAACTGTTTGGTTCCCATTGAACTCCATTAAATAGAGAAAAATCCTGGAATGTTTTCATCAAAAACCTTAATTTCTTTTCGACCGAAGAAAGAATCATCTTGGATGACATGGGGGTGAGTAAATTATCACCTTTAACAGTGAAAGTCAGTGGGGTCTGAACCAACACTGAACCGCATTGACTTTCATTGTATGGACGTGTTTTTTTCTTCTTCATGTAACTGTCTTTTGTGCTAATTTTTTTAATTATTTCCTCAAGAGGTGAATTAAGTTGATATATCAAATCTGTAGTGTTCCAACATGTTTTACTGTATAACCCATTGTTTGTGTCTCCACCCTGCAAGACTCCCACACTCTCTGCTCAAACTCAGCAAGGCATTCGTCTTTGCCCCCAAACACCGTTGTAATCAGAGGACGGGAGCTATTTAGCTGGTTATTACATACACAATAGTCATAACCCAATCCTGTAACCTGAATGCGGGTAAAGATTCCCTCCCTAAGGCAGAGGTTTATCTCTTTTTACTTTTCAGTGTGTGTGTACATACTGAATAACACCAGGTGTACCTATGTGGGAAGCAGTAAGGGAGGGGGTGCCTGTCAGACTGCAGATGATCCCTGCTATCAGGTGACGCTGTGTTTAGACACATTACCACAGTTTTGTGGGCAGAACGGGAGCTGAAATTTAATCCCTACGCGCAAATGCTATAAATCACTGCCTTCCACGGCGGCACCTCTATATTTTCTGTCTAAAACTGGCAGGAATATTTAGAGAGGTAGGTCATGTCTCTTTTAAGTGCCCTGAGATGAAGGTTGAACCCACTTTAGGTATTTATTATTTATTGTATGTCAGTATCACTGCCCATTTATAAGCATGATCATAAAAACTGGAAAAAAACAGGCTAGTTTATCCAAAAATGTCATTCCAAACTTGTGTGACTTTTATTTTTTATTGTACCTCTTTCTTCTGCACACTACAAAAAAACACCAAACATTTTTGGGTTTTTTTTGTCAATACAATGGAAGTCAATGGGGTCCAAAATAACATTGGACTGCAGTTACTTTCAATGTATGGACAAGGGGAAAAAAAACACTGAGACTGTGTCCGAAATCGCATACTCTAAATAGACTTTGTGGCTATTAAAAAAAGTATGCTCTTTATAGTATGAATGTATGTAGTATGAATATAATCCAGACATACTACATCCGTCATGACTTTCGGCGTCAGTTGCGTTGTTTCTCTGTCGTTTAGGCTTAATGGAATAGTAAAGTAAAGTCCATCAGATGCTCACTTCAAAATTGCAGGAAGTAGAAGGTCTTCACTTACTGTTTTTCTCCTATAAAGTAGGGAACGAGTACAGTATGTGAGTTCGGATGCAGCCAGATATATTTTTCAAAATAAAATCATACAGGTTTAAAATGACATGATGATGTCAGAATTTTCGGATATTAAGATATGAATGTAATGTTCTTAAAATCTTTTTCTCATTAGCTTTGAAGGTACGTTTTAAAAAAATCACGACCTCTCTAGCATGGTGGTTTGTGAGAAACTCTCGTGCAGGGCAGTCCGTTTGATGTCAGTTTTAGGAGACATAGACTATACCTCTACTGCATAAGTGTGAAATCAATTACTAGCTCTCACCATGGTCACACATGTTAAACTCATCTCTTGGCACCCCCTCATCTTAATTCAATAAGCAGATCCACGCTCAGGTAAAGGCTGGCCATGATGTAAACGATATCCGCCCAGCATACCAGCCTGATGAACTGCTGTGGGGGGGTGAGGGGTGGGGGGGGAGTGGCCGTGTCATGCCCAGACACATGCCTGCCTACTTGCAATTGAGTTCAATAGAGCAGCGGTGACATACCAATGCTGGTGCTACTGCAGACTAGAGATTTGCAGTTCTGGCCTTCACTGTAGGAGTGTTCTCATCTTAAAACCTTGCACTAAACCAACTCTAAATTGGTTAAACCACATGAAAATGGTTGTTTGTATAGTTCTGAGTGTTGATTGGCATTGAAGTGATCTTTATAAACAAAGGCTGTAGATTGTCACTCAGAGGGAGCATTAAAGCAAGGGTTTATACAAGGTCTTTAGCAATTTCTGTATCAGCAACAATCAGCGACGCGTCAGCCTCATAGAGGGCGGGGTTGTTGAGATTAGAGCCGTTGAAATGAGTACGTGATGAAGACCCGGAGCAATGCTTGATAGCTTCTATCATCAGTCCCTCATCTGACCAAGGACCAAGCGGTCATCCTTTTACATGGTGCCGACAAACCCAGCCTCTTCAAGACAGCGCTGTCTGGACACTATCAGACATCTGCCAGGCACTACACATGACTATTCAGTCGAGGTCTGCTTGCTTCAGGAATTTGTTCAAATATTCACTATATTAATAGATTCTAGCAGTAGAAAACAATCAGTATTAATGGATGAAACTATGTGGAGGGATGCCTTCTTTTGATTGGTAGGTTTGCCTATCTTAGGCCAGTAGTAACAATTTTACCTGCCCTTCTAATATTTTCACTGGCCTTATCACAAAAGAATGATCAATTTGTATTTGTAGCAAAGCATTTTTATATTTAAAATATATAAAATAATAAGAAATATTTAAAATATATAAAATATATATTTTAATAATATAATAAAATTATATATATATATATATAATTTTTTTAATATAATATTAAAATATATGAAATAATAATTATTATTATTGTAAATATTGTTTGGAATAATTGGAATTTTTAACCTTATAACCCTAACCCTTTAACCCTATATATATATTAGGACTGCAAAGATTAATTGTGATTAATCGCATAATCGCAAAATAAAAAGTTTGTGTTTACATAATATATTTGTGTGTGCTGTGTATAATTATTTTGTATATATAAATACACACACATGCATGTATATATTTAAGAAAATGTGTTATTCATATATTAAATATTTATATTTATATATAATATAGATTATGCATATATATATATATATATATATATATATATATATATATATATATATACTGTATATATATACAGTATTTACGTGCAAATAATTCATAAATATATACATACATGCATGCATATGTATTTATATATATAAAATAATTATGCACACACACAAATATTGGATGCAATTAATCGCAATTAATCTTTGCACAGCCCTAATATACACACACACACACATATATATATATATATATATATATATATATATATATATATATGTCATGTTCCATCCCCTTCACAATCCTCATCGCCACCCACTCATCCCCTCTCACCCAATCGGACACTTCCCTGTTCACAATCCCCTGATTATTGGTCACCGTCACCTGTGTCCCATCACCCACTTGAACTATATAGTACTCACTCTCACTCCAGTCACTTGTCTGATCTCATCATTTCATGGCTCACAGACTCCCTGACTTCCTACCTGCTACTTACCTGCTTGCCATTCTTCAAAGACCAATCCACCAATCCCCGAATCCATCTGCTCAATAAAACTTACCAAGCCGTCTGTTTCCTCTGTGAACCCTGACTATATATATACACACACACACATGCAGTATATTGGAAACATGTTTTTTTTAGTGAGAACCTATGCCTTGAACATTTTGATGTAGCTGTTTCATTTCTCTCATTAAAACCTATGATGTCTCATTTTATTGTTGTCTTATTGCAGGATCTGTGGGCACAGGCGGGCGAGTATGCAACCGTACGTCCCGTGGGGCTGACAGCTGTGAGGTCATGTGTTGTGGGCGGGGCTATGACACATCACGCGTGAGCCGCACCACCAAGTGTGAGTGCAAGTTCCACTGGTGTTGTGCTGTTCACTGCAGGGACTGCGAAGAGGAGGTAGATGTGCATACCTGCAAAACCCAGTCATGACCACACCACTCCTGCACTTCAGTTACCTTCCAAACTAAAGATCCCACCTCGAACCTTTGACCTTGTACAGTGCTTTTCTCTGGCGAGTTAGAAAAAAGTAGACCAGACATTTCAGCAATGCATACACAAAAGACCAGCAACTTAAAGGTACACTATGTAACTTTTGCATTTTGTGGAAGAACATTGTTTTGGGTGGCACGACTGCGGATGAATATGGTTCTTTCTCATAACTAAAAAAAAGAGAGAGATTATCCTACTGCTCATAAAACATTCACTACTAGACTTATTTAACTAGTGTAGATGGAGAGGATCTCAAGCTGAGTAGCTGAAAACGTTATTATACCCATTAACAGACACGGTACTTCCTTGAAAGTGAATCCAGCACAGCGCTTCAACAACCATAATGAAATGACCCTTCACAATATAATGCTTTACAATGAACTCTGTAAGAGCACTACATATGCCAATTTACCTGTTCAATAAAACACCTTACTAAAAGAGTGATTTTGACATTACATCGGGTGATTCACCAGAAGTTCGAGTTTTAGCTGCTCCATGTCAACCTAGGCCACTCACACACAATACACACATCAAATAAGCTGGAGCAACTTTTTTCTATTTACAGATATGATGAGAGAGACATATGTATGCAATTTCCAGCGAAAATCATCCCGCCCTGTGTAAAATATAAGCCCTTACAATAGGCTAGTGAATCAGGGTAAGACAAAATGGAAGAAGGATCGATGATTTACTGAATTGTTTAAATGTGTTAACTTTTACAGTTACATAGTGTACCTTTAAAAAACAATGCAGATTTGTTGATTCACAACTGATTTTGAAGTCATCATCTTTACATGTTTTGTCCCCCCTCCCCATAATACAAGTATTTATTACTGCTTTGTAGTATAAAAATGTTTATCTTTAATGTATTTCATATTTTGAAATGTAAATACAAACTCTATGTAATTTAAAATAAAACTTACATGTTACATCACTTTGTTGTCCCGTTTTGCAGTAAAAACCAAACTATAGTTGTTTTCTGACATATAAACAATGTATATAAACTATTAATGACTAGATGGACTAAACCACTTTTGAAAACACATTTTTGTGTCTGAAGGATTTTCAGTCTGTATAAAGGCTAGAAAGCTTTCCCCCTTATGATTCATTCATTTAGTGGCTCTAAATAAGACCCAGCTGATTACACATTATTTTGAAAGATGTCTTGACCAAAAAAAGACCTCCAAAAGCCTCAGTGCTGACACCCTCATGTCATGACATCTTAAATAGATGGTCTCTGAACTCTCTCCCTAACCTAAAAGAAACAACATGAAAAGCATTTCATAAAAATAAAACTATTTTAAGTTCTCTTTTTGCACATATGTATGCTTTATTCTCAAAATGTATAACTATATTGAATCAGTTGATTGAAACCTCAAACAATGTTAGTGAATTCTGCCCTGATAATGTTTCTGTACATTAATGTGTGTATCATTTCCTTAAAGAGCATTAAACTATATAATTATCACATTGTATATTGTTGCACTTAAAATTGAGTTTGATTATGTAGTATATGTGCATATATAAAATGTTTGAAAAAATTACCTTTAAAGGTATGCTTTACAATATTGTGTTACATTTTCTCACCTGGGCTTGGCTTGCTTGCTTGTTTGTTTTTTTGGCTAATGTAATGGCCCTTTCACACCAAACGTGAGTAGAGGGTGGAGCTATAACAAACCTTTCAGCTGAGGAATTGAACACAGGAGAAGAACGTTCATCTCTCTTCAGCAAAAAAACAAACAAACAAAAAACACAAAAGAATGATCAATTTGTATTTGTAGCAAAGCATATTTATGTTTAAATAAAATATATAAAATAATAAGATTATTATTATTGTTGTAAATATTGTTTGAATTGAATATTTTTTAACCTTTATATTTATAAAAAGGTTTTACACACACAAACACACACACGTGTTGTTTATCTAAAGTCATTTTTGATTTATATGGTTGAATTGGATAATCGAACGTCAAAAGCAAAAACTGATTAATAAAGTCTGATTACATGCATAAAGTATATTTGTGTAATTTAACATATTTAAATATTGCAGGTAGCATAATATATTTTGTAAAGTTTGCATTTCACAGTTTTTATCCATTTTGAGAAATACTGAATCTGTTTTTGTGCAAGTGAGATGAGTAATTCTAGAACTATAATAATATTTTTTTTGTTGTTGTAAATGTAAAAGTAATCCTTTTACTAGTTACTTGAAAAAAGTAAGCTGATTACATAACTCATATTACTCGTTGTATATACATTTCTAATATATACTCTAAACAATGCTGGGTTGTTTTAACCCAAATTTGGGTCAAATATGGACAAACCCAAATGTTGAGTTAAAAATGTCATTTAAAATGTTACCCACCTTCAACTTTCACTTTCAACAGTAATTTTTTTAAATTACATTTTAACCCAACATTTGGGTTTGTCCATATTTGACCCAAATTTGGGTTGAAACAACCCAGCATTTTTTTTAGAATGTATGGTTACAGTTTATAGAAAATGTTATGTTCTATTCTGATTGGTACGGAATGCTCTGTATTTGTACTTGTGAACTTGAAGATACATTTTATGTCGATACATTGTCAAGGATGTGAACCTATTCCACTTTGGATTAAAAAAATACATGTGCAATACATGTGCAGCATTGCACCATTTGAGGGCAGCAAAAGCAAATGAAGTCAAAGGGCATGCAAACACCTGACTTGTTGGATTGCATTATGGTTGCATCTGGGGCACATATTATATTTCATATCCATGCATAATTTGTATTTGAGCTCAGGGTAGAGAGAAAACTCTCAAATTATAATTAGACCTGTGAACGGAAATTAACTTAAAATGAAAATACGTTTAGCTAAAATGGAACAGGTCCTGAATACGAAACAGTTCTGTTCCCCTCTCAGTCTCTCTCTTTGACCTTCTCGTTTTCACGTCCGTGCGTCCTGCGTCATGGTAGCAGGGATACAAGCAAGGCGGTGACCACGCATGCGCAGGTCTGAACATTTAGCTATCATCACCACACAGTCGAAGAAGCAGTTACATAGTAAGTTAACAGTGAGAGAAACCAGTTATTTACCCCCTCTGAGTGAACAAATTATCACTGGCGCAGAGGTACGACATATTCAAGCTAAGTCGCAGCATGTTCACATTAAACGGATAGCATGTTATGTTATGAGTGATACTAAGACGTTATGTTTAAACTTTAGCGGCTAGCCGAAACTCTGGCATGCGAGTAGGTGTGGCGAGCACTGGAGGTTCGGTTGGTGTCCTCGTGCGTTACATTATACACGATGTTCTCATAAATGTGGTGGATTTCTTTAGTATAAAAATATTACTCATTCCCGGGACATTTGCTTGCAAAAATGTACGTTGCAGTATTATAACAACGGTTCAGTTTTGAAGTGGTCTGTATGAGACACTTGAGGAACTTTGGATTTGTGTGTAGTGTTGCATGGAAAGTCATGTCATTCATACACCTGTTTTTCTGTTTCAGACTGGCAGCTCCCACAATACTCTCTTTAGTTGTCATTGATTAGTCCACCGTTACATAAAAAATATGTTACTTGTGTTGAACTATTACAACCTCAGTCACTTGTTTCAGTGTATAGAAAAAAAGGTCATTCTGTTGGTCATTATAGCATAGTTTATGTTCACATACTTAACATACATTTTTTTTTCTTTGTGTATGATGCTAGAAGTTCAGACAACCCCAAATGGTACTCTCATGAAGTTTTTTTTTTCTTTCTTTCTAGGACTTCTGAAAACTGTCATTTGGTCGTGCATGTTACTAAGAGCCTGACATTTCTCTTAAATGGCTGCCTCTGGATCCTCCACCACTGAAGGATTTCACTATGAGACCAAGTATGTCATTCTTAGCTACCTCAGCCTGCTCCCACCACCAAGATCAAGAACCTCAGAGACAGCGGAGGGTAAGAGATCACATTCACAAATCATTATGTACTAATAGCCTGCCTGGCAAGAATCATAAGGAGTTTAATTTAGTCTCAAAACAATGGCTCAACTTTCGGTAGTCTGTTCAATAGCACGTTTAAAAGGTACTTAAATGTTTTAATTGAACTAAGGCTTAATCTAAACCTTGTCTGTGAAACCAGGCCGTAGACTCTTTTATTAAAGGTCCCCTGATGTGAAATTTTCACTTTCTGAGGTTTTTTAACATTAAAAAGAGTTCCTCTATATGTATAGGGGTCTGTATATCATTGTCCCCCAGTGGGTATCGGTGTAAACCGAGCTTTGACTATCTTTCTCTGCCTTTGAGAAAATGAAAACTCAGACGCGCTGATCTTGAATCTCCTCTGTATGACATCATACGGAGGAGGTAACCTCCCCTTCTCTGCTTTACCCGCCCAGAGAAAGTGAGCTAGGAAGTACGAACGCGCAAACACGATTTGTGTTTTTCCTCGAAAGATCTCATGGCTTGCAAACGAGCGAAGCATGGCAGTTGATCAGTCTTCAGATGTACAAATGAACACAAAACTATTTTTTTTTTAGTTCCTTCATCCAAGCGTCTGAAGAAACAATGGGTTAATTTTATTTTCTCAGGAAATGCGCCAACACAACTTCCCAAAGTTTTGTATTGTCCAAACATTTCACCGATGACTGTTTCCTCAACTTGGGCCAGTATAGAGCTGGCCTCAATGAATGTCTGAAAATAAATCGATCGAGCCACCAAGCAACAATTTCTGATGTGTAGCCTAATTGTTTAAGTTCAGACTGGTAATCTTTCTCTCAAAATCGTTCAATACTGTTTATACATCAGTCAAGCCAGTGACTAAAATATCAACTTCACATCGTTTCTTTTAGTAGGGTGAAAGTAATCTTATTTAAATTGTGAACAAATTATATACAGAAAGCAATCAAAGAACAATCTTTCCACACAGCACAAGTTTAGCTGGACAACTCAGTATGAAATCAATGACGCACGTTACACTGCACAACAAAGCTCTTACTGTATGTACATCATTGTGTTGGTGAAAGCATTAGAGAGAGTGCAGAAACTGCGTTGCAATGATAAGATCTTCATTCTCTTGCTCAATGCTCACGGCAAAATTTGATGTGATGGGAATAGATCTAAATACTTAAAAAACTTCTCACGATTCGTTAATCTCAATAGCTGTAATAGTAAAAACCTGTAATAGCTGTAGTAAAAGTATTTGAGAGAG